AATCAATCTCTCTCTCCGCCTACCTATATTACTTTTCAGAATTTTAACCCTCTCTCACCCTATAGTGTGGTTGTGTGTTAATGCATGCAGTGCGATTGCTGAGTTTTTCTTCATGGGGTCAACCATTCTAACCTTAGCTAGATTCTTATGTTCTGATAATCTCCCTACTCCTGATCTACTAGTTTCACCTATGTAGTTGACCTCGCTCACAGTTATGCAAGTATTTTGTAAATTATATAATTTTGTTTACTTGGATGCTGTGTGAGTGCCTTGATATGATTATGAGCAGCAGTCAGTTTTGCTTGAAACGTGGTTATCAGTAAATACTACTGTATAACACTGTTTGATTTTACCATAAAAAATTTTATCCACAATGGAGTCACAACACCAAATACCTGAGAAAAGTCAAAATTTTAATTAACCGCCTTTGTTGCATACTGTCAGAGAGGCGGAAATGAAGGCGAAGTATAGTCCTTTTCCTGACAACTTATATCCTAACTTGTTTTAAAGGCAATTTATCGATATTTTCACATAGCTCAAATAATTGGTGTTACTATCCAAACCGGAATCGTTGTCATCTGAAGGCAGGAAACCGATCTCTGCCTCCTACTGTATTTATTGATCGATTATTTTATTCTTTTATGTTTCCAGTAGAATATAGGGCTTCAAGCTGGAGCTCTGAAGTTTCGGTGGCAGTGGGTTTATTTTACAGGGTTGGATTGCGCTACATCGGCCGAGATTCAAAACCCCAACCCCACATGAGGCGTGGGTGGTGAGCATTCTACTGTTGAATCACTGACACACCTCCTACTAGATAACTGACCAAAATGTCCTTGAGACACGCACAGTCACAAAACGCTCCAAAAACATAGAAAATGATGATTGTTCATGACTGGAATCTCTATGTGCGTCTCTCAACAGTGACGTCAGTCAGATATACAGTAAATAGAACGTTCTAAGCACGAAACAATTACTTCGAATCTATCAGAATATTCTCAACCATGTGGGATCAAAAATTCTGTCCGCGAAAATTACACACCAACTCTTCCTGAAGACAGTTCAAGGTGGCAGTGACCTTGATTCACTCAAACAAAATCATATCATACAGCAATACAGTGTCAGTGTATCGCACAACCATGAAATTGGAGATTAAACAGGGACAAAGACGAATAATAAGGATCAAGTCAACAAATATAGGTTTAAATATTTTATTTTACGAGTTGATCACGGATTGATATCAGTTAGAGAAACACTGAAGACTAGCACTGGAGTACTGGGAATCATCGGCAGTACTCACCCACTACAGGTGGTTCGAACCCAGGACCTTCCGGTTACAAGACAAACTGGCTCGTATACCATTCAGCCACTGGGACCCGACTCTTCAATAGACAGTGCATGAATTCTAATTTCTACCAATTCGTGATTTAGCGTGGCTGGTACCAACCAGTGTCATCAGTGGGACATCCATTCTCTCACGTGACTGGATGGATCTCACTGGTCACGACTTCTCACCAGAACTTCAGGAAACTCCATTCTGTAGCCAGTCACTAGCGAGCATCAGATTAATTTTCTACAGTATGGTTCTCTAACTGATATCAATCCGTGATCAATTTGTAAAAACAAAACTAATCCTTATGAACCAACTATAGAAAATTAAACACTGTAATTAAATGGTTCTGGAGAGATTTTCCAAACAATTACTTCGTTAAAACCTGTTACGTAATTTGCCATACTTAACGTGAAAATACCTTGACGACTAATTATCTGCCCACCCAAAATGCACACATGCCAATGGTGCTTCTGTGTGTGTGCTTAATCAAAAGATGGTATCAGACAGGGGAGCATTGGAAACAAGTAAGGAGTAGTGGGAAGCGGTTTTGTTCTATTTTGGGACTCTTCAGAATTACACACCCATCAGCTAGGTTCAAATACAGAACCTTCCAGTTACAAGAAGATTTCACAGATAACATGGTCACTGGAGCCCAACCGAATGGCGCAAAAATTCTACCTTCTGCCAATTCACGATAATTGAATAATCCAAATGCATAACATTTACTCAAAAAAACTTATTCGCTCATAAAAATTATTGTTTCAAAACCATTAATATTGTGATACCTTTCAAGAAAAGGATCCTCTCTTTCTCTCTCTTTTGATTTGAAGATAAAAGTAATCCAAAGTTGTGTGCTTTGACCATAGGGGAGAGCAAATTGTGCAACAGATATGTCAACTGTGTAGTGAAAACTCGATGAAAGTAACCGCTAAGTCGAATTAACCTCTCTTTCATTCCTTCTCCCACCCTGGATAAGATAGAACAAGGGAGGTTACTTACAGTATTGAATTCTTTTTGGATGTCGATGCTATTGTACATTCGTAACACGTGTTTCTACAAATGGAGTATCGGTTGCAGTTTTAGCTACACTCTGCTCAAAACTCGCTGACTGATTGATATTCAATGCAGAACCTTGCAAAGAAGTTCAGCAGTCCGGTGAGCAAACTCCATATACCATACAAAGTAAGAGCAAAGAGAGGGAAAAATAGATTTCAAAGAATTAAAGTGAGCAGAAATGCGCGAATGAATGGAGATATGGAACTGAATGATGGTTTAATGGATCCAAGAGGTTAGCACAAAGAGTGATTTTTAGATATGATGGAGAAGATTTATTGTTCAGGCGGATGATTTTAATGTAGTTTAGTTCTCTGATCTGGTTGGATGGTTTATTTGTGAAATTTCCATTTCCCTACTAGGCAACATCTTCAGCGCATACTCCACTTGGTTGAAGTAAGCTTTAAGATTCTTCCACGAGTTTATTAGTGATATCTCCTGGTGGGTGACCTTGAGTGAGACTCTTCGCTTGGTCTCATGTGTTCTCACACCCTCTAGGCTACTTGTATTGGTATTGGTGTTGATTGTTTCCTTGACCTGAAGTTTGACCCTCTGTGTGTGTGAGATTTCCTTCTTTCCTTTTGTCTATATCAATGTATCCACTAATTGGTGATTCACTGGAATACCAGGCTTCTAAAACCTCTCTAGAGTTCTTGGTGTTTCCTCTGTCTAAAAACCTAACGTTGTCTCAGTGGAACTGATATCCGTGATTGTCTGTATGCAGCAATAGGAGGGAGTGGATGTCGTATCCTTTGACACTTAGTTTCTGTTCATGGATACGAAGACGAAGATGAAATTCGTTTTAGACAATGTGTTTTTTGCAGTCATTGCAACTTATTTTGTAGATAATGTTGGTTTTATCTTCTTCCGCTGGTGAGTCTTTTGGTTGACACATAGCCAGCTGAGTGAAGTGACTTTGTTGGTTTGTGCATGACATCAATTCCTAAAGGTTTGAAAAGTCTTGCAATGATTTCTGAGATGTCCCCAGGCTTTCAAATGGTTCTCTAACTGATGTCAGCTCATGATAAAATCCTCCAACCAATCAAACAAAATCTCTACAAAATCAATACTTGAAAACACATCAGAATGAATTTTAACTGTATCCCCGATAATCTCTAGACATTGGTTCTCAACATCCTGAGGACTTCCCTACCTAGATGGCTTAAACTGATAAACAAAGGCTTCGTGGACTGATTCCAGATTTTGGTTTAACCACCCTTAACACTTTCGTAATTAAACCATATGTCAGCTAACATTGGTCGTCAGAGGAAACAGCAACTCACTGGGCCTAACACGTGTTCCACCCATCTGAATCAATGTAGCTTTCAAATCCCACCGACCTGGTTTCCATCCTTTCTTCCCTACCTTATACTCTACGCCTAACGTGAACATTAATCACTATATTATATCATTTAATATGTGAGACAGCAAGCAAACATATAGAATCAGTGACAGCCAGTCTTTTCATATATTGCAATTTCAACGGCCCTGTCTCATTGTCATATATGGTGGATAGAGCAAACTGTTGTGTATAGTACCCATGTAGTTTGATCGATCGCCAGATATCCCCAGTGAAAGCAACTTAAGACCACGTTTATCCTCACCTTTTTATTCCTTTACGTTCCAAGGGGAACATAGGGCTTCAAGCTAGAGACATTTGAAGTTTCGGTAGCAGTGGTGTTTATTTCTACGAGATGGGGTAGCTAGTCTCATGCCTTAACCTTCCCTCTTTACCAGTCTTATCACTGGCTTAGCGAGCGGGTAAAGGAGTCCGTCAGTCGGCCGGGGATCGAATCCTGGTTGGCGAACATTCTACCTCTGTGCCACCGACACAAGTTAAGGCATTACGTAGGCAAATTATTTCGTGAAATGCAGCATAAAAATGGGATCATTTAAAAGCAGGAGGAGGTGAATAGGAAATCTAACTGTTCCGGGATATTATTCAATTTCTGGTCAGCTGATTAAAAATCAATAATAACTTTAAATGATTGATATTTTATTTTTGGATCATTAAGTCCCGAAAATAGGTCGAAAATAGTTCTATAAGTAAGTTGTCTTCGTGTGAACGTGACAATGTTCTCTACATGAAAACACATTAAATCAAAATCCAACATAGTGGCTAATCGCCTAGTTTTGTGATCACATCGCAAAAATTAAATTGACTGATCGATTTCAGTCAATAGTAACACTAAGGATCAGATCATTGATGAGCCTGAACAACTCAATGGGGGCGGGTGAATCATTTCCTTCTTGACCGCAAACATTCCATGCTGATGGGTATTCGTAGGCACGAAAACTAGATTTCTGGGACTTCCTCCTACCAACTAGCATTAAACCACCCAGCGTCAACACATTCCGTCCTTTGTCGGAGTTTCAAACGATTCCTGCAGGGTTCAAGTCCCATGGGGGGGGGGAAATGAACACCTACTGGACCCCACCGCTAATTAACACCAACCAATAATAATGGATTTTAGTTTGAAATCAGGGCATTAGCTGTTGAAGAGTCCCACAAAAGACGAAACTCAGGATGAGTAATAATAACAATAATCAGTAAACAATCAATTGAAAGATATATCCCTCTCCCATGAAAAATTATAATGAATAATTACCAACTTACTGGATCAAGAGATTGAACATTGGATAAAGATTCTTGTAATTCATCCGACGTTTTATACACGTCACCATGACGATAATCATTGTCCACATTAGTATTATTACGATGTTGATAATTATTTCTATGTGTTGATTTCTGAAAATCATTTGGATTCGGTGTTTGATCTTTACGTTTAAAACTTTTGCGTAAATTACTGAATGCATGTTTTAAATTTGATTTCAATGATGGACGCTTGTACTGAGGCGTTGGTTCTTGATTATGGTGTTGATGTTGTTGTGCTGTTGTTGTTGTTGTTGGCCTACTCCATTTGTGATTACATCATTTGATGGTGAAGTTGACAGAGTTTGTGTTCTCTTGCCTGGCTCTGATAACTTTGGTGGAGGTGGTCTTTGTGGATATTTAGGATCAGACAGATCTTGCTCAGTACTTTCCGCCTCAGTTTTATCCTTGGTATTTCGTTTGACAACAGTTTCTGTCAGCACAGGTTCTATGACTTCAGCATCAGTTGATGTCACCGTAGGCTCTTCTTTAGCTGTGTCGTCTACATTCGGACGACTTGCCTCTTCAGGTTCTTCTAATATTTCTATAATCGGAGATTGTGTTGGTGGTAAGGCTTCAGTCTCTTGCCTCGTTTCCTCTGTTACAACTTTACGTATCTCATCTTTCACAACAGTGACCACCGTCTCTTTGATAACTTCAAACGACTGGTCATCACCATTGGTTAAATTTGATTCATTCATTGTTTGTGGAAGGGATTCTGCAGCATTATTGATTGCTGAAGCAACTGGTTCAGGATTGATGACAATAGTTTGTTTAATCACGCTGGTAACATGCTCTTCAATATTCTTATTATCCTCAGTATTCTGATTTTTCGTCTCAATGGTTATGCTACTTGTCGTGATTGTTGCAGTAGCATTAGGCTCAACAACACCCTCAGATTTCACCTCAATCGGATGGTCGACAGTTGTAGATACGATTTCTGTCGTAGATTCCATTATTATTGAAGAAGAAGAAGTCAGAGCAATTGGGATCGTTAACTAGATAATATCCGATAAATACTCTTTTTTTTCAAAAATAAAATTATTTCTGCGATCTGTTCAACAAGAAATGAGATCCGCTTCTCTCTTATTTATTACTTTTGGTATATATACATATATATATATATATCTCAATGGAATAGGTCATTCCACAATGTCATTATTGTTATTTTGGTAGTCGTGTGCAATGCAATATAATATTCTGACTTTCTTATTATTTTTTTCTATACTCTGTCAATAGAGATAGGAGTGCTCAATAGTGTGTATTTGCGTGTATTTGTGAGTGTGTATGTGTGCATGCGCGCGTGGTGCGCGTCTTTTTATATTTAATCTTGTTTTGCGTGGTTTTTAAGATAATGCACATGAATTCATTAGATGAGAAATACACACTCACACAGTTTAGGTGTTGTAATTGACTTTCTTCTTAAAAATTTGTGTGTGAAAAGAGACTGTATGAAGGTTGCTGGTTCTTTTTTTTTCTGTAGAGACTAGTCGATACTTCTGCGCTGTTGTAGTATGCTCAATGCACAATTATTCACGATAGATGGATAGATGGATATACAGACATATACAGATGTGTAGGTGGATGTGTGTGTGTTAGCGCGGCTGTATGTCTGTGTGTAAACGACCAATGAAAGATAGACACATACACTATATATATATGTATATATATACTGCGATCGATAGATAGACAGACACACGGATATAGGGATGTGTGTGCTTCTTGTCTTCCTGTTAGTTAGCCAATCAGTAGTCTGTCTACCCGCTTTCACTCAATCGCACTTTGTGTATCAATCGTAAAGAGAATTGATTTTATTATTTGTTGTGATATACAAAGCCAATAAGTTCTCATGTGATACGATTAATGACGATGTTGATGATAATAATGATAATGATAACAATAGCAATGATAAACTGCGCAGAAATCTTTGGTACTTCACACTAGCAGCTATCAATTTCAATCAATCAATCAATCAGTCAGTGTTATTACGAGTTGAAAGAAGGCTGTGTAATAAATAATTACTAGATTGTCTGGTTGGTTATATATATGAGAAGTTTTCGACTGTGTCTAGGTTGGTCCACTCACTGTTAACCAATCAGAATTATTCAGGTGGACATATACTTACGTGGGTGGACAGTTATGTAGGAAGTAAATATATTGTATGAATTAAATTCCCATCCAGGTAATAATGAGAAAAGAAAAAGAACCCGAGGACAAAAAGAGTGTTCAGTCAAAAAAGTCACTTCGGCGAATTGATTTTCCTCTTTACCTGTACTATCACATTCATGTGGTATAGTAACACAAACAATTCGTAAGAGTAAAGGAATAAGGAATATTAGAGTGATGTAATGAGATAAATAATAATAATGTGAATGAGTTGTAATAATCCGGAAGCAAACACAAGCGGGGATGGGTTTGCAAGGAATGCAGCTATGGCTTAAGAGTTCAACATCATTTAGAAAGACTAACTACATTAATAATCCCGATTGAGACATAAAAACAAAGAATTCAGCGAAGAAAATTCTCTTTTCGACGATTTCATTTTCATAGCTGTACAATCATATATATATATATATTTTCAAATATTGGTTTTTGTAGAGACTTTTTGTTTTGTTGGTTGGAGGACTTCATCATGAACTGACATCAGTTAGTGAACCATTGGAAAACCAACAGGGAGTACTGGACAACCCAGCTGTTTCATCCTAGTTTGGGACTCCACTTCAGCAGTACGCACACACCCTCTGTGAGACCTGGCCATTGAGAGTGGAAGACATGAAAAGATTAGCTGTCTTTGATCATAGGTGCCTGCGTTCTATCTCCCGTGTGAAGTGGTATAATAAGGTGAGGAATATTGAGGTTAGGCGTCGAGTGCTAGGTAAGGAGGGGAAATCAATCGACGAGGCTGTGAAATTACATCGACTGAGATGGTTAAGACATGTGTTACGTATGCCTAGTCATCGCCTTCCTTGACGGAAATGTTAGCTGATATAGGGTAGGCTGGAAAAGAGCTAGCGGGGTCAAACCAAAACATGGCCAGTCAATGAAATCACACAGTTAGTCTAAGCCACGAGAAGGTGTAGACTCTGCTGGTTGGGTCCTCGGGACGGTAAAACCAATGGTTGGAAACAATGGTACATGGCTCAAAATCGTTCTCAATGGCTCAGATGCATCCACTCCTTGTGACTTATGATCCAATAAATGCTTTGTTCTTCATTATTACTTTCCTTTGTCCCACACTCTGTTTACTGTCTATATTATGCATTTCTCCTACTTTCTTCTCTCGCTTTGTGTGCTACATGGAGTGTGGCGACTTGAACTGCCGCACATATGTGCAAAGTTCTATGTCTAAAACAGACAGACAGACACACCCCACAGCCAGGATTCGAACCCAGGACTTCTAGTTACAAGGCGAAATAGCTCGTAGACCACTAAGCCACTAGGACCCGATCCAATGGCCCATAAATTCTAACTTTGCCTATTCATGAAATAGCGCGACCACTTCACAATGTCTTCTTCGATGAGTTACTGCCTCATCTTCAACCTGCTGTACCCTACCCCAATGGTTCTCTTACTGATGTTAACTAATGATGAAATCCTCCAACCAGTCAAACAAAATCCCCACAAAAACTAATACTTGAAAATTGATCTGATGCTCGCTAGCGGCTAGCCTATTCAGGCAGTTAACTTGGGTTCTAGTGGGAAGCCGTGACCAGTAGGGTACAGCAGGTTGAAGGTGAGGCAGTAACTCATCGAAGATGATATTGCGAAGTGGTCGCGCTATGTCGTGCATGAATTGGCAGAAGTTAGAATTCATGGGTTGGCCACTGGATAAGGTCCCAGTGTCTGAAAGGTCTACGAGCTAGATCGTCTTGTAACCAGAAGGTCCTGGGTTTGAACCCCTTGTTATGGGGGCGTACTGCTGAAGCGGAGTCCCAAACTAGACTGACGAAACAGCTGTCTGACAGTACTCCCTATTGGTTTTCCAACGGTTCTCTAACTGGTGTCAGTTCATGATGAAATCCCGTAACCAATTAATATCACATTCTTATGCATATTATCACATTTACAGCATCTTTTGAACTGTAAACTGTTCATATTATTGATTCACTATGATTTAGAACATTATTTATGTTGTTACCCAGAATAATTGCATCATTATTATGGATGTTTGTAATTGTAGAACGTGATGAAGACGAAGTTATCAGCATGAATATTCTCTGTTAAGTAATGAGACTTTTAAAATTTTTAATGAGCACCTTCAATCACTTAAAGTTATTTTCATAGAACAAAACAGTTGAAGTGGTTGAGTAATTTTTTCTTATAATAATAATAATTTGCTTTATTCCAAAACAGTACTTGTGATACAGAATGGAATTCTCAGCATTTTTACTACAGTATTGCATCCAGTTAGTACATTATCAATAAATAGAATTCTACATAGATTAAGGAAATCTCAGTTCATTATGACAACAACATATTGGCATGTCGGTAGCAAAGGTAAAGCTGAACAGTGTTTGAAGGTGTTAGAAAAGTAGGTGCTGTCATATTTACTGGCGTAAGCAGAAGAAAGAAACAAAGCAGAACATAACGGAAAAAGAGAGAGAGAAAATGTTGTACCTATAAATGATATGAGTTGGAAAGACGAGATCCAGTTGTACTACTGACTATTTAATAAATTATAGGTGTCACGCCTAATGCTTTCTTTATCACACAGAACACGAGCTAAGTAGGGTATGGTTGAGTTTTTGTACTTGCTTGGGTGCGAGCATATAGTTTTCTATATAGGCTTCTGGTTTTGCCTGATGAGATGCAAGGGGAGAGTTGTGAGTGAAGAGGGTGGTGTGAGTTAGATAAAATGGATTTGGCCCATTTTTCACATGAGTCCATGTGCCTGTCAACCAGAATATTAACAAGCTGGTTAAGTGGCACGTTGCTTACCCTGCTGACAACCTTTAACATCCTGCGTGATAAGGTATAGTCTTTCTTCAGTAGCCCGGGAAAAACTAAGGGGGAACAATAGAGAATAATAGGCAGAATGCGAGAGTTAACGAATTGTAGGAGTAAGGGTTGGGTTATACCAGAATGTTTTAACTTCTTGATGTAGAAGGTAAGACGGAATATTTTCTTAGAAATCACCAAGATATGAGACGACCAGGAGAGATCAGCAGATAGAATGACGCCTAGGTATTTAATTTCCGACTTGGTTTCTATTTCAGTGCCATCTATGTTGCACACCTCGTGAGAGCCAACCAGTTTGTTTAGGTCGGATTTATGCCTAAAGGTGAAATTGACTGTTTGGCATTTGGAGGGGTTTAAGGTAAGACCGTTTTCCTTGGACCACTGGCTGATTTCTGACAGAAAGCCATTAAGTTTAGAGCAGTCACTTTGACATTTGACAGGCAGAGATACTGTCAGGTCGTCAGCATATTTGACAAAATTAATGTCATTTGAAGATGGTAAGTCATGTAGAAAGAAAGAAAAGAGAATTGGGGAGAGTATGTATTCAGAGCTTCAGTTTCTCCATCTGTCTAGAGCCTCAGCAGTGAAGAGAAGACGAATGAGTATTGTCTTTGACAATCCGTTATTCAGTCCTGCAAGAACTATTGATATCTTTTCAGCACCCATGTGGGATAATATTCTTCAACCCTTTGAGACAAGATACGCGTCGAACGACCAAAATACTTCGCTTCGCAGCAACAAGTGAACTGATGTATAGACATAGAAAGTGGTCAAATGCCAGATCTTGTCTTTTAGGCTTCTGTAAACCAGTGGACAACTGGAGGACATTGCTGTTAGCTTTGGTGCGAAGAATATATTCTCCACAAAGATGATGAAATACTTCCCTTAAGGATATTGCATGTTAACTCTCTCGCTTGAATTTAAGGTTCATCTAAAGTTTTTTTGTTTGAAACAGGCAATGTTTCGTTTCTCTGAAATTTTGTCATTTGGTTTTCTT